AGAGTCGCTTTCTTTCTCGCCTTTTTTTCAGCGATTCACTTCGATTCGTTCCTTCCGACATACGCCGCCTGGCTTTTTGCTACAAAATGAAGAGAAACAAAAAAAAAGCAGAGTATATAGAAGAACAGAGAGAAAGAAAACGAAATTAATAACGGCGTGTGTAATGAATGTGAATAAAAGGAAACGCACAAAATTAATATTTCATAATTTTTATTACATAGTTTTTTTTTTGTAATTGTTTGTAAATGCAAGGAAAAAGTGAGCAAAAAAAATAAGATACCTATATTAATATTATCTACAAATCGGAGCGTAGTCCAATTCATAACAACGAAATATATTAACCAATTCCTGTACCTCTTTAATTACAACCCATGTATTCCGACGTACCGATTTTACAATCCTCGATTTAACTATGAACACACACACGATAGACTTTCATATTCGTTAATATATATTTATAATATATATTCCTCTTTATATATATATATATTTATACATATATATATATATAAATAGGGTAGCATATTGGATCCTGACGTTCATTTCCGGTGTGCTTCTCGCGTCGCGCAAGTACTCGTTCCAATCAGTAGCGAAATACTTGTCAACACTGTGCCATGCATTCCAGAAGCGCTCAGTTATCTCTTTTTTTCCTCCATCAGGAGAATGGTAATTAAGTGGACGAAATGATTTCGATATTACTGGTTCTGTCGTGGGGGAAATGTAATTTCAACATGTCGAAATACGCGCGGGACCATCAGCGAAACATTAACAAATAATTGCATACAAAAGAAAACATAAAGAAGAAATACATTGCACAGAGAAATAGAAGAGAGGGGGTGGGGGGGATGGTAGATACAGAAAGAAAGAAAAATAAGCGATTTAAAATCAGAAAGAAAGAAATGGAATTCGTACTTTTTTTTTAACTTTTCATTTTATGAAGATAAGATAATAAATTAAACGACTACCGACTTAAGAACTAACAGAAACAAATTTCGGTTATTGTCGAATAGAAATTTTGATCCGTTCAACCTTCTAGAACACTCTTCTCCTTTCTGTTTTGTCTCTTTGTAACGGAAGTATGCTCAAGTTGTCCTTTGTAATGCGAACAAATCGGTTATAATTACTTATGGCGTTCGTTCAAGTGACATAATTCATCCGCGACCTGAAAATACTCGTTGCGAAATCCGCTCTGTATTGAAAGTGTTTCTCTTTTTCTTTTTCTGTTGTTTTCTTTTGGTTTATAAATAACGTGACGGTGGCTCGGATAAAAGAGGGTACTAAAAGCGCAACGTAACGATGCACGATAAAATTTCAGCAATAACATAACAGGAATACCTCCGGTACAACCAACACGCATTCTCTCTCTCTCTCTCTCTCTCTCTCTCTCTCTCAATCGTATCGTCATCAATCGAAAATTTATCAAATGTAAAATTGGCGTGACTGAACACCGTGTAAAATTTATATTCTACGAATTTCATTCGGAAAAAAGAAATTATATATATTCATTAGATAAAAACAAAATTAAACGTTTCACATGCTTCGGATAAGATTTGTAAACAAGATTAGAAGGAAACGCTTCGTCGACTCTCTTACTTTCTTTCAGATTTCCTTCTTTTCTCTTGTAAAACATGGGCCGAATTGCGTGGAAGAGTGCCGACCGTATTATTATATATATATATATATATAATATAATATATTATATAATAGTATATTATATAGTATACATAATATATTATAATATAATATAATGTATATAATATAATATAATATAATATAAATATATATAATATAATGTATATAGTATACATCTCGATTGCGTATCGTGGATATATACAAATCTTATCCGTTAGAACTGCAGATTCACGGTAACGTGGATCATGTGATCGGGTAATTAGTCGTTAGTTAATTAAAATGTGAACGCATCCAGGAAATTAGTCATCTCATAAAAAAAAAGAACATTTGCGAACATGCCAGGTCACTTTTTACTTTTACACATACGGTTTGTTTCATTGCGGACCGGAACGTACAGGGTGTGCCGCGAACGATGATCACTGGTTCGGCATGCAAAAGTGGCAAAAGAAAAACGTAATGGACGAACTTTTGATACAAAACAGAAATAGGAGTTCCGAACTTTCATATTGTTTTGGCTCATTCAACGACCGTATTAATTTAATTCAAATGGAAAATTAACCGATAGATAGTCCCCGTTGCATGCTGTATATCACAAAAGAAAATTAAGACGTCTCGAGGAACACCCTGTATGTCGAAGCAACGCGGACAGTGTACTTTCTTCGGTTGTTTTTCGTCGTCAATCTATGAACAAATACTTTGCCTGAACCAAACGCGCAAATGCCGGTCGGATGATGTGAAACAGAATGGGCGCGCAACAAAGAAAGTTCACTTCGCGCGTATCGTATACGAATCTAGAAGGCAACGTCGACTAAGAAACCGGAAATAAACAAGAACATGCGATAATGAAACCGTTCCACAAAGGTGTGCCGGTTTGAAAGTTCATCTACGCTCGGATATATAAAAACGATATTCAGATGAATTAATTATACAGCAAAAAGATTGAAAAGGCATTAGAAACATCAACGTCATAAACTTTTGTTATACATTCTGTGGAAAACATTGGCACTACAGGGTGATTCTTAATTGGCGGTTGGCACTGCGGAGAATAAAAACGGAACATGGAACAAGAAAAAAAAAGAAAAAGCTGAAGCGCAGAAGCGTCTGATCAAAATTATTAGGGACCACTAATCTAGAGTGGAGACTAATTTAGAGAGTTTTTAAAAGTCCTTTCTTTAATGATTTCGAGCAAAGGAAAAATAAAATAGTTTCAACTGTGTTCGAAATTCCTCGAATCCAAGTGAGATGACGAACAATGGAATCTGGCTTGGACAGTTTCTATTCGAACGAAGAATGTTTCTTATTCCATGCTCCGTATTTATCCTCTGTGCGACCAATACGTAATTACGAGTCACTCTGTATATACTTAACATCGTTTCTCTTTCTTTGTTCCAAGCGAATTGTAGGGCCTTACGCAGCTCTCGCGTGTACCTATTATACCTATCTATCCGAACAGTAATATAATAGCAATGGCGACGATGATAATATCAATAGTACTCATCGTCATAATAATAATAATAATAATTACACGGAGAAGGTAATTACTTGCACGCGAAGAAAAGGCGCACCTGTACAATGTATAACTATGTTATCGCCCGACGACGATTATATTAATCACTATTGAAAATCTGTCTTCGTGTCTCTCGACTTCTCACCCTTCCTTCTCGCATCGTTACCGTCGTTATCGTTACTATTATTAGTATTAATATTATCATATTCATTTTTTTTTTTTAACATTTTCACGTTGCCGCGTGTAAAATCGATGACGATGGCGCTCAGCATTCTCCCTTTCAATGACTACTGCGTTCGAAATAGTAAAAAATGGGTCTACCCTAGCGTTTTACGATATACACAACCGGAATCACTACGAGCGATCGCGTGAAACTTCAACATTCGATGTTGAGCCTCCAGTCCAGAGTCTCCTGCTGCGCTGGCGAGGCTCGACCAGTCGCGATCAGTTGATTTTGCTCGGTCATATCACTTTATGGCAGGTAATTCTAAATAGAGTACTTAAACGTGTTCGCCCTTTCTCATTGTCCGATGCTTTGTCGCGCGATCATCGATCATTCCCTAGAGTTGTGGTCGCACACTCGCTTTGTCTACCGAGTCGAAGAAGAGCAGCTTCCGAGGAGGGCACGTTGCAAGGTGGTCGCGCACGCGGAAAGAACGGTGTCTCTCTCTCCCTCTCTCTCTCTCTCTCTCCCTCTCCCTTTTACGGAAAGCTGCCGGTAGGTCGTCGTCTTGTTCTGCTCCAGCTCGATGGAGAACAACGGGGAAAGAAGACGAGAAAGCAAAAAAGAAAAAGAAAACGGGGACAAAGGAGAGAAGTATAGTTAGGAAAGAGTAATGGCGAGCAGCAGGCGCGGATTCACGCACGATCCGCGCGCCGGCTCGTGGACAGTCTCCCTGTGCTAGTCTCCCTTTGTTTCCTTCCGGCGGAAAAGAAGCAGTATTAGTCTCCTCCGGACGTGGCACGTGATAAGCCCTACTACCATTTTTGGACCCACTTCTCGCGCGTTCGCATTTTTTGTTTCCTTTACATACTTTTTTTTTGTTTGTATCAACGTTTAGGTTTCATTTTTTTTTATTTGTTTCTTTAATTTCCTTTAATTCTACATACTCTTAAACTGGACGACACACTTGGACGTGCGCACGGTAAGTAACTACATAATATTGAGTTAATTACTCGCCCCCCCCCCCCCCCCCCTC